TTCCAGACAGACACCCCTCTTCTCCTGGAAGTCCCTCTGAGCGGGGTGCCAGGACCGCCACGGTCCACTTGGAACAACCTCGCTCTCCCCCTCACGGACCCCACACAGTTTGGCAGTCTCATCGGATCAGAAAGTCATCTCATATCCACCTCCCTGTCCACTCCACCCGCCACCACCCACTCTGTGACGCTGCAGCCCATGGCTGCTCTCTCGGCGATGCCCCAGAGCGGCTTGACTGGCCTAACGACTCCTCCCGCCCCCTCATCCTCACTCCCATCTTCGTCACGCGATCTTTTGACCTCCGCACAGCCCAAGCAACAGCTCCCTCAGTTCAGCGCGGCCTTTGGCCATCAGTTGGCCTCCCACAGTGGCATCCCAAAAGACGTGCAGCCCAGCCACAGCTCTACGGCGCCCCCTGCTGGCTTCTCTATAGTTAGTGCCACCGCTGCAAGTGCCAACAGCGCCACGCCACCCTTCACGCAAAGTAAATGAGAGCAGGCGGCACGCAGCTACTGCACGACGGTCTGTGGAATCACAGTTACTTAAAATCCAGTTGACTGAGTCGTTAACCACCCCGTTCATCTGCTACATGTGTGCAATGTGGTAATAGTGCACTATTGATAATGAATTTGCACAGCCTCAGATTTTACTCTATTTTTGTTCGTTCCTTCTGTAGCCAGACGGTGTCTGAGATTTTAAGTCAGTGTGAGTCCACGTGTTCGATGCGTTGTGGTTTCGTCAGCAGGGTGGGATGGTGGGGTGGGGTGGGGGGTTACAGTCAGATTTTGTGATGAAATAAACGGGTGAAAATTGGCAGAAGGACCTAAGCAGAGATTATCTGTGTCACAGTGCTCAGAATTCCTAGAAGCCTCAGTCAGTGGTCAGTTTAGTTTGCTTTGCCAGTTCAAGTCCTGTCTTAAAACGATCAGCTGTACCCTGCCTTGCTCAAACGGCCATTGCATTTTTTTCTTCGTTTTTGTTACCCACCTGTTTCATACACTGCTTCTGTCACCCTCTGAAGAACAAGAGATTTTTGTGATCCATTATGTTTCAAGCTATTTAACTGTCATCATGATATAGAATCTTACGGAGTCAATTTCACAGTCATATGAATTTACCAAAATACTTTTAAACAGCTGTTTTTATATTGTGTATAGTGTGTATGTGCTCATTTATTGGTTTGCTCAGACGTCAAAAATCTCTGACCTCACCATTGGTTGTGGGACTCTTGAGTGGCCTAGTAGACACTTGAAGTTGAATAAATCTAGTATCTTAAAGCAATAAATACATGAACATAACTCTGGCATCGTGAGGTATTTCACTGGTTTCATTACATGTAGCTTCACTCGATGAATCCAGGCTGGATCAGGAAGATATTTTGGCCTCTTTAACAGTTTCCCCGCAGAGCCTTTAGAGGCGAGCGATCAGGTCAGGCCAACTTCTCTCTGAGTGGATTTTTTTTAAGGCTGATTAAATTAGCTTCAGTGTTACAGCGACGATGGTAATGGCACAATCCAGGGACTTTTAAGTGTCTACTCTCAAAGGTGCTCTCTGGTCCACACGTACAATGGTATTTAGTGGCTTGCATGTCTCATATAACAAAAGTTCAGTTTCAGGGCTCGCACTAATACAACAGGCCAGGCTACCCGGAGGAGGCTTACGCAGTGAATTGGTGTTGGAAATTTTTACCCATCAGCTAGATGTAACACAATTGGTGTATTTTGCACGTCTGAAGTAAAGCACTGTCTCTTTTACTCAGTTATAAAGCATTTTTTAAAGACATATGATGAAAAGCTGGTGTCTGAAAAACAAAAAAAAACAGCAAAAAAAACAAAAAGAGTGCTCTTCCACGCAAGAGCCTCCACCCCCACCCCGACAGCAGTACAACCACGGCTTTTGATAAGTAATATATTAGACATTTGAGAGATTATCAGACATTGTTGAGTGTTAGGTATATAGAATAGCAGTCTCTATCTTGGGGTTTGTTGGTGAATTATTGAGTAGCAATGGATTGAAATTGTTCTTTGCAATGTGTTCAGTGGAACCTGTGTCTGTGTAGAATGAGTCTCTTGCTTTTAATGGCTATCAAAATGATTGTTAAGTCTTTGTTGGAGGGATCAATGTTTGTTTGTATGCTGTCTCTTTTTTTTTTCCAATTCTGATGGAGAATATTTTTTATTTTTGATAGCTATTAAACTTCCAGGAAGAAGTCTTGAGATTGCATGGGGCTGCAACCCTTTCTGTGTGAGAGCGTAATAGTAATAATAATAATAATATCACGATTAGACGATGATCACTGGCTTCTTGGTGGTAAGAAACATTGGATTTATATGCATCAGATGGTGGAGAAGAACAGATCAGTGTACTTTTTCAACCTAGATTTGCACAGGAGTGGATGAGACCGGTGGTGTTTCATATGTCTCATGTCTGTCTTGCCTTTTTTTTTTTTTGCCCTGCTTGGATGCTCATTACACAAACAGCCGCCACCATTAGCCGCTCTGAGCCTGTGCCGGACCATCGTTTCCAGCTGTGAGAAGGCCCAGTTCTGCCTCGCCCCTTCCAAAGAGAGAACACAGTCTCAAAGTGTAAACCTGTAGCTCCACCGGGGACGGCTGGGCTTCTCAGAGACCGCGGTGTCATCAGTAACGCAAACAGCGCCCCCTAGAAGTCAATAGGAAGAATCAGGTTTGGGTGAAAGTGTGTTTGAAAATAAGCGAGACAATACTGCTGTATCCTGCATAGCATGAGATTAGTCGCTGGACCGGTTCACTCTCCCCGACAACCACGTAGAACAAAATTTACAGGGCTCGTAGGCACATGTAACTGCTTGAATTCAGAGATGGCTGACAAATTCCTATACTCATTGAATGTACTGTATTACTGTTTTTAAAGATAGGATGAGCTAATCTAGTCACCTTTTGTTATTGGTCCTTGTTTAATTTGTCTAAGGTATTTTTTGTATACAAAGGTTTACATTTTTATGTATATTTTTCTTGTGTACAAATTATGTAATATGTGTACAAACACTGTATGTAATATCTGTATATAGTGTGAGAAATTTGATCTTTTGTTTTTGGATGTATAAATAAAACTTGCTGTGAGGTATTTGAGGCCATGGTTTAACGTGGTTTTTCAAAGGTCACCTAAAAAAAAAATGCGAGGTGAGATGTGCTCGTGTGCACCCTGCCACAGTTTGACAGCTCCTTTTATACGCATGCAAATCATGAGTCTGAGGGGATATGCCTTATGTTTAATGATGATATATTTTCTGTTCTGTTTAAAATATCATGGCTAATTTAGCAGTGATAAATTCAGTTTTATCGCTCTCTCTGTAACCTTGGATTTTGCACCTTTGATTCTGGCTGCTGTTAATTCCCAGCTCCAGGTTATGAACTCTGGAGCGCAGCCCCTTCAGTATCCAATCCAGACTACACTGGTAGGACTGTCTCCCTCTTTATTTAAACACAGCTTTTCAGATTTTTAGTTTCACCAGCTTAAAAATCAAAAGAAAAACTTTTACCATGTCCATGCTGTCTGTCTGGACTGGTATGTGCAGTAGCATATTGTCAGCACTCTTTGCCAGGTGGAGTCAGCTGGGGTACCTGATCAATATCACATAATATCATCAGCAGAGGTTTTATTTAGCAGTCATGGCACTGAAGCTTTAAACTTAAGGGCAAAAGGGCTTAAAGAAAAACTGGAGCCAACTCTAAATAAAAAAATGTGATATCCACCAGCATGACAGTGGTGTGGCACTAGCTGTGACTTGGGGTCTTCTAACTAGTCAATATTTGAATAGGTTTGAGAATTTAAGGAAGCTTGGGTCTTTTGTGTGCAAAGAAAATTGAAGCTAAAAACTGTGGATTGTAATCTGCTAATCACAAGCAGCACTAAACCTAAGCCTCCCAAAGCCACTGATGTCAGCAGTTCCAAATTTGAGCCCAGCAATTTAGTGCCGCCGTGCTCATACCAGCTTGTTGGCACCAGCTTTCTTTTTGTTTGTTTGTTTGTTTAGTAGAAATGATTGTAAGTACTTCTAAACTGGCCACTGGAAAGTGGCAAAATTGGAGTGGTTGTTTCCAAGTTCAGCCATCTGTCTTGGCCAGGACTTGCTGTATGTTTTCCCAATTTGTCCCTCTGTGTTTGTCTTGCAGGTTCCTGGTAGGTGGTGTTAATCAGCGTAGCTGGGAGCGCTTGGCCAACATCCCTGGAGCATTTAAGAGCTGGCTATCTCAGTCTTTGAGCCCTCACATTTCACCCAACTGTCATTAGTTTGGTTGGCTTCATTTTTCCATTTATTTTACATTTCACAGTGCACAACATGCTTTGCATTCACTCGTCCCAACTACCGACACACTAACACACCTTAAAAATTAATTAATAATTAATTATGCTTTTTTAATAATAAATCTGAAAGTTCTGGTTAAAGCAGTGTCTTTACTATTGTTATGGCTCATGGGTTCTACCTGCAGGTAAAACAACACATTTGCATATCAACATAAGAGGCAGGAGTGTCCAACTCCAGGCCTCAAGGGCCGGTGTCCTGCAGGTTTTAGGTGCGTCCTTGATCCAACACAGCTGATTCAAATGGCTAAATTACCTCCTCAACACGTCTTGTAGTTCACTAGAGGCCTGGTAATGAACTAATCATTTGGTTCAGATGTGTTGGCCCAGGGTGAGATCTAAGACCTGCAGGACACCAGCCCTTGAGGCCTGGAGTTGGACACCCCTGACATAAAACAACCTAATTGGTTAATTTCTGTCAGATCTTAAAATTGCTGGGAAAATAAAGTGACAACCTTTCATCAAGTACACATCAAGAGATAAGCCAAATCCAAATGACTTAAATTCCTCACATGCAACACATTCTGTTCTCCACTTAAATCACTGAGCTATGAATTTCATATGGATTTTTACCCAGAGCTAATAGGTGTGATAATACATGATAAGAGAAGATTAATTAGACAAAAACAACAAAGCACCAGTTGCACAACATGAAGTTTAAGGAATGTTTTATTCAGAAATGTGTTTGACTGGTTTCTCTATATCCCTATACAGTCCGAAGATGAATCATCGTCTCCGTTCTGATAATGTTGCCAAGAATATTTCAGTATCATTTCTTATGTTTAAAATTCAAACTGAAAACAAAAACAAACAAGCATACTTGCTTTGATCTGCGTGCAGCATTCAATTGTGCGAAATGCATACTGCATCAACTGAAAACCTTTGTGCAGTAGCCATACATTTCATCTCTTGATTTTGAATATGTGGACTTTGAAATGTGTGGGTTATTATACAAAACTTAAAAAGGAAATTCGATCACATAACCACAAGCAGCAAGAAGGGTGATATTTCCAAGAGGCACTACAGTCTGAGTCAGGAAAATGTAAAAAGCAAACCTATTCAACTTTCCACTTAATTTTTATTTATTTCTTAAACATTTGACTAATTCCAAGAAATCCAACAGCACTGTCCTGAATGAGCAACAACACATACTGGACTAGAAACTTGTCAGCAAAGAAAAAAAAAATCATTCAAACTGAAATGTACATTTTAAATGATTGCTATCCAGTGTTAACTGAAATTCGAACACATCACAGAATCCAGCTTTACTCCTTCTATTACATAATACTGCTCTTTGGGGTTATAAAAATAGTTATTAGCGTATATGCCTACTTGTGCTGAGAGATGACTCCTGCCGATCACACTGCTTTATTGCCATACAACACACAAAAGAAGAAGAAGAAAACTCCATAACACTGAGTAACATCTTAAAAAAGCAACACAGCGCAACACAAAAAGAGAAGAGCCACACTAGATCACGTTAAAGGTGCAGATTGGGGCATAAATGGCACATTTGTTTGAATGAAGAGCAGACTCATTATGTGCAGTCGCTCGGTTAACCAGCTTCTACTTATTCATCTGATCAGCATTTCAACTGCCCTCATTTTAGTCCATTTCCCACCAGAAGTACAACAGGAAGCAGAAAGGAACTATGAAATGGTTTGTTTAAAAGAACAAGGTTGACATACAGGAAATACTTCGTGTTCCTGTTAACTTAAGCACTCAGTGACCACTTTATTAGGAACCCATCTGCAGTATAAATCAGTCGAATACAAATGCCGTCTCTTTATGATGCTCACAATTGTGATGTAAAATCTGAGATCGGCAGATTACCTTTAATAGGAGGCTTATGTTATAGAAGTACAATGGAAACCGTGTGTCGTGCAATAAAGGTACATTCCTCCAATTACATTTTCACTTTTTCGGTGAAATTAAAAAGGTAATGTATCCTGGACTAAATTTTATTCTCTTCTTCTCTAATAACACTTGTAAACAGATGCAGTCTAACTGATGAGTTGCAAAAATACTGTCAAAATAACATTGCAGTGCAGTATTACAAAAGTAGATTTTAAGGTCAGACTGCACTGTATACCTAATAAAAAGGACACAGTAACTGATTTTATTCTTGTCCTTTCTCCACTACAAATAAAATAAGTATTTCCCAGAATGTCAACCTATTCCTTTAACTTCTCGTGTGTATTGTATACATTATATCGGCAAAAAATGATTCTTACACCCCAAAGATTATATATTAAAAAAAGGTTTAAGACAACCTACATACAGGGTAATTTTGCTCATGTGCACCTTCTTTTATGAAAAAAAGAGAAATGCTTTTGATCTTTTTGTCATTCATCAATAAAATATCACTGAATTTAGAAACAGAGGACAAGTCACAACAAAAGCAACAGATCCAACACTTTAAAGCTGATACTATTCATCCCATTCATCACAAATACTATAAGGCTGATTTGACTCTGTTTAGGGCTCAACATTCCTTCAGTCCTGTAGGAGTATGCTACAACGCATACTACTCAGGCCAACCATTAGGCTTTATACTACCATGCACATTCCTTTTAAGCTAGAGTCAAACGTAGCAGCAGTGCCACTGGTCTCTGAACACTGCTTGGCTTTATGTTAATATATACATCTGAGAGCAGTGTCATCTATGCTGTGAGGAGTCTAGAAAACTAGCACACTTATCACAAAGTTAAAAATCAAAATGATACAGCCAGGCAATTATTACACTGCATGACCAACTCCAAAGTCCAAGCTGTGAGACTTGTGCAGACTTTTGTTCGTCCCGGATGGTAGAGTGAATACCTGCAAAATACCGTAAGTCTCATGCTACTGTTTTATGGCTACTATTTTTTTTTTTTAATAGTCAAAGGCATTTATACTTGAAGTGCAATTAAAGCTGTAGGTACACTGAGGAGGATAGTACCGCTGCAGCTCCTAGGAAGACTAAGAGAGTCTGCTGATTTAAACTCAGACGATGGCACTGCCCTGTTAATGGAATGAATGGACGAAACCTCAGTTTATCAATCAAATGCTGAAAAAACAAACAAACACAGAAACAAACAAAAAACAACAAAAAAAGCGAGATGAGGCAGAGTCCAACAAACCAACACAACTCGAAGCTTTATGGAATTGGGGCTGGAAACGGAGCATCCAGTGTTTAAAACTGCTGGGGCTTAAATAAACCAGCCATTTCTCTCTTTTTCAGACATTCTCCAACATTATTACAGCCACACTAAAGAGTGTGAAATCAAAGAGAATCAAGAAATATACACAAACAAATCAATAGTAAACCATGATAGAGGGCAGCCACTTTCATTCACTGGATGAGTACTTAAAAAGTTTCCAACTACACAGAGAGAAATCAAAGAGATATACAAAAGAATAAAGTACAAAGGCAAGGCAATCTCACTTGTGGCCTTTTAAGTCTCTCAAAAATATTCACCTCACAGCCATTATCTACACTTTGCATTTGGCCATTTGTACACAGTGGTTCCAAATGCACCATTAACCTCTCAAGAAACTGTAGAAATCAGCTTATTTACAAGTCTGTACAACCACCCTGCAGAGCTCTTTCCATCTCCCAGTAGACCCAATCCACTAAAAGCGGGATACCTGAGTTTTCAATAGAATGCTTCAAACCCACTCGTCACGCTTCACTGCACATTTCACAGGATCTTTCACACAGCCACATGCACACAATTAATTAAGCAAGTTATTTTCTCCATAAGGATGCCGACTGTAAACCTATGTGGGAAAAAGCCACAAACACACCAAAACCAAAAACTTAAAGTCCTTCCAGAAAGACAGCTAATGTGCTCTTAAAATAAAACAGTTGAGAAGGAGGTATCGAGAAGGGGAATCTTACAGCAGGTGGCAGCTAACTGAGTGGCCACTGACTGTCTTGAATAGGAACCTCTGATGCTGTGCTAGCATATAAACAGACATTAAGTAGGCCAGGATTTGCTTCAGGCAAATAAGTGATGGAGACCTTCCTGGGAGACTTCATTCTGGCTGTGGAGGTCAGAGGAAAAGATCTGACTACTGCCACCAGGGTGGAAAAGTGGAGCACAACTGGACTTGGCTCATCTCAGTGAGTGGGGGCTGCATGCGGCACAGAAAACCTGAAAAGAAATAAATAAAGGTCAATATATACCAGCCTCGGGTTAAGTTGAGACAAAACATTACACAAAAACAAATTGCAGATGGATTAAACACATATACTTGCTATTATTCCTGCATAACAAGATTGAGAGGCTTGGGTTTCCTCTCTGAAAAGTCACCATTTAAGACTCCTCAGCTCTGATTTTCTGGGCTTCAGTAATACATCCTCACTCTTACCATGTGCTTGTACCATGCTCACTGAAGCATGGAAAGTCTGATGCTACATGAAAAATAGAATTGAGGTTATTGGAATTTCTTGCCCCTTCCTGAGCCTGGTTCTGTTGGAGGTCTCTTCCTGTTAAAAAGGACTTCCCACTTTCGCTAAAGTGCTTGCTTTAGGCAGGGGTCATCTAATTGATGGGGTTTTCTCTGTATTATTCTACCTCAGTAGACTGTTTTTTTGTACGTTTCTGGCTGTAAGTCAATTATACTCCAGTCAGTCTCAGACATATCACAGTTAAACGAAATCTTGTTTAAGCTAAAATCTTAAATCTAGACAGTGACCATTGTAAACACTTTACCAATCTGTTAAAGTGCAGACATCCTCAGAGGAACTAGCATAGCTATAGACTCTCAGTAGTATTTAGAATTGAGTGAAATCATTTTAAAGTGCTGTCAACATTGTTTACTGTACATCAGTATGATCAGATGACTCCATGATCCCAACAGAAACTGTTGTCTCATGGAAAACGTTGTACAAAATAGTGCTTTTGATGCACCAGTGCAAGTGACTGTACCAATAAGTGTATTCAAAAAAAGTACATATTTTCCAGCCAAATTGAATTAAAGCTTTTCCCTTTGTCATTGGAAACCAGTTGGTTTACAATTAAGCTGCCCCTTTAGGCTTACATCCTGCCACACAGTCTGCTTTAATATGAAATCCATTCAGGAAGTAATTATGCAAATTCACAACCTACTAAATGGAGGAAAAAGTTCAAAGTTACTGGTGTGAACTTCACTTGCCTCTGAAGTCTCTGCACTAGTTCAGCCACCAGGGAGTCACAGATTCCTGGGTATTTTTCTTCTGCCTGAACAATGGCCTTTCGCAGCTCTTCTGCAGCTTCTGGCTTGCCATTACTTGTCTCGCCTTTCTGTTTCATCTGTGAAAGTGACAGCTTTTAGATGACATAATGTGAACTGCCTAATTCTAAAGAAAACTGCAGCCTCTAACATAAAATGGAACATAAACTTAAAGGTACACTGTGCAGGATCTCAGTTGCCGTTTGTAAACTCTGCTGACTCAAAAAAACTGACAGAGAGAAGAGCGGTGGTTCAGCAAGCTAGAATGAATGCAAAGGGAGCAGCACAGACAGGAAATTTACTACTTTACTACTTAAAACATTACATTCAAGGGGGAAATGGTTAGTTAGTTGTTGTT